GGGGGCATGTTCCAAGCGCGTCTGAACAGGTTTGCTTATGATTATTTTCAATGTGATTATTTTGTTGAGTTGACGGATAACACTGTCACTATATCTACATATGTACATCCATTTTGGTCGAGAACCTGGTGCTAAATAGCAGTTTGAGTTTTGAGTATGATTATCTATGAGTATGCTTTAAGCGTGCTTATTGCTGGCAAATGTGAACAGTTGCAGCGCATGTAAATTTTTTTTTGAGCATTCCGTCAGTACCATAATAAATGTAAATATAAAATACATATAAACGGTGTTTTGTATTTCAAAGTAGTTTTCATTTGAATATTTAGTTTGTCATAAATAATGTTATATTGAAATCGCAAGCAGAACGAGCAACATGTGGTCGAAACAGTGATGTAATATTGACCGCCGTCTAGTGCCAAAATGTTAATTAAAAAACCGTACAAACGAATCCGAAAATAATATATTGCTTTTGATTACAATAAATCTCTTCTTTGTGTTTATACGCTCGCCAAATTGGTTATATAAACACTTGCTTTTATTTATTATAAAGCCATTTTAATATTTATTTTCGAGAATTTGGATAGAAGCTAAACCGGGATTTATTAGAGAATAAGCATTGGCGATCGTTCCAAGCCGTTGCACCTGCAAACGAACATTTTGGTTTAAAAATAAAATTGTAAAATACCAAATGAAATAAATTATTATCTCTTTAAAAAAAAGTGTATGATAATTGATTTCGTGCAGTCTCCTTCTCATAGTTCGCCTGTGGTGTAGCATGGAATATAGCCGCTCGGACTCGCCAGAAAAAAAATTGAGGGCTTTCTAACATAGAATATTTGCCCGGATACAACCTAGTAGTCAGGATGCTATGCCAGGTTAAACTTGGTTTAGAAGTTGCGTAATTATAGGTACATGCTGGAAGCCGTGCTAGAAAATTACCGGATTTCCTGAGACAGAAAACACCACCACGCTATGGAAATATCACGGAAAAGTTCTCGCAAATAATGCTGATATTGTAGTGATGGATCAGACTCGATGAGGTATATTTTTGGTTCAGATTACCATTCCATATGACAAAAACCTGGTGAAAGCCGAAACAGAAAATAAGAACAAATTATCTGGAATCGGTGAACAAAATGTGTGGTGTTTATGTTTACCGACTGAAACTGTTCTTGTAGTTGTTTACCGATTGAAATTGTTCTTGTAGTTGTTTACCGACTGAAATTGTTCTTGTAGTTTTTTACCGACTGAAATTGTTCGTAGTTGTTTGGGCGAACGGGTTTCCGGGTTGTCTTAGTCACTGTGACTGTGTGAATGTAAATGCAGAAGGCGGTGCTCTCGATACCGCATCGACCGCCGAATAGTTTCCCTTTCTTCCTAAACCTTTGCCGTTTGATGGTCCTCTGCCAAAGTCTACCATCTGGTCAGGTTTTATGTATTTTATTTATAGTTTAATTTATATATATTCTACTTGTATATATTTAAACGTACTTATGTATTTAAATAATTTTATGGATAGTTAAAAATAATTGCTTATTTTATATAAGTATAAACCACCGGTAGGAAAGAAGGGTTTCCAAGTGGCAACCTCGTATCGGTAAGCGAAGTGTAAGGCGGTTCCCCAACTAAAGTGATGACCTGGTAAGTGCAGGACGTCGATACTCAGAAATAAAGAACAGGCATATATATACAACATGTAACAAAAACCCTGTGGTTCCCGTTAAGTGTGTAATCAGAATCAGTATCCAAGCGTAAAGAAATATTTTTTTTTCAAATCACATTTTTTTATTTTAATGAAAAAAAATTTATTTGCAAATTGTATGTAGTTTCATTTCCTCTAACTCACATGAGTATCGGTAATGCGGGGTCTTGGACAACCCTGTTACTCTTCGGCCAATGTAGAGATAATAAAACCACATAAAATTTGCAAATTAATTTTTTTTCATTAAAATATTTTTTTAAATGTGTTTTATTTGAAAAAAAAATTATTTCTATATGCTTGGATACCGATTCTGATAACGCAGTTAACGGGAACCACAGGGTTTATGTTACATATTGTATATATATATATATATATATATACAACATGTAACATAATTAACGCACTTTGAGAAAGTAGTTTGTTCAGAATCGTTTACTGAATCGATTCTTATCATTTTTAATATAGGTAATTTTTTATCCCAAAAATAATTAAGACTACGTAAATTACAGTCACACTAAATCTGTACAGTCAAAACAAATTGAAATAGACCGTAACTTAAGGCTATAAGACTTTTAAGAGTGCAGTTTTATTTGTATTATTACTATGTCGTTCAATAAAAATAAAGAAAAGGAACTTTATTTCAAGCACGTTAAAGTCTTTGCGTATTATATCAAATATTTCTCGGGAAAACGTCTCTGAGTGCCGGGACAAACTTGTGTCTGAAGTCGAGTCTCTGCTGGACAGAGTCTCGGATTGGGGGCGACTAAATCTAGTCCAGTTTAACCCCCAGAAGACACAAGTTTGCGCGTTAACCGCTAAAAAGAACCCCTTTGTCGTATCCCCTCAGTTTCAAGGCACTCCCCTTGTTGCCTCAGCCAGTATCGGAATCCTCGGCGTCGACATATCGAGTGACGTGCAGTTTCGTGGTCACTTGGAAGGGAAGGCCAAATTGGCCTCTAAAAAGCTTGGCGTGCTCAGCAGAGCGGGACAGTATTTCATGCTGGCACACCGCCTGCAACTTTACAAGGCGCAGGTTCGGCCGCTCATGGAATACTGTTCCCATCTCTGGGCTGGGGCTCCCCAGTACCAGCTCCTTCCACTTGACCGCATCCAACGCAGAGCGGCTCGAATCGTCGACGACCGAGTGCTTTCCGATCGGCTCGATTCACTGGCGCTGCGAAGAGATGTTGCATCTCTTTGCGTATTTTATCGCATCTATCACGGGGAGTGCTCTGAGGAATTGTTCGGATTAATCCCAGCCGCCAAATTTCGTGAACGCACTACACGGCAAACGTCCCGATACCATCCACACCATCTGGATGCTTGGCGGTCCACCACTGTACGTTTCAAAAGGAGTTTTCTTCCGCGTACAACCTCTCTGTGGAATAATTTACCACCAGTGATTTTTCCGGACCGATACGACCTGGGGACCTTCAAGAAAAGAGCTTACTCCTTTCTAAAGGGCCGGCAACGCACCTGCAATTCCCCTGGTGTTGCGGTTGATCATGGGCGGCGGTAGTCACTTAACATCAGGTCAGCCACATGCTCGTTTGCCCCCTCTTCTATAAAAAAAAAAAAAAAAAAAAAAAAAAAAAAAAAACTATAAGCGTACGTAGGATTTGTACTGTGACCACAACATTCTTCCGGAATTAGTATAACTAATTTGATAAATAATCAGTGCATAAAAATGTTTAACTAAAAATTCAGTGTATGTTATGATTATAACATAATATACTAATTGGGGTGTCTGAGGGTGTGCGTTAGTATATATATATATATATATATATATATATATATATATATATATATATATATATATATATATACCTATAATACAATACAATCTAGTTAATTATAGTATAGTTTAACTTTACACATATGCTAGAACTAAATAAAAAAATAAGTAGTTCAGCTTATGCACTGTATAGACTTTCTGCTATTGTTAACATTGACGCACTTCTAACAGCTTATTATGGACTAGTGGAAGCTCTCCTTAGATACGGAATTATTTTCTGGGGTAACTCAACTGAAATAAGTAGCGTATAAAAGTCAGAAAAGATGTATCCGCGCTATTTATTGGTCTTTCAGACTTTAAAGAGTTAGTTGTATGCCATATTCTATTAAACACAGAATCCGTACACTTGCCTCCTTATACAAAATGAAGATGGCACTCTTTGTCAGGGCCAATCCCAGCCTATTTCCACCGTTATCTGACAAAGTAGAGCGCAACCGTCGTGAATGGAAGTAAATTGTGCTGCTAAGAAAGAGTGTAGTATGCATGGCTCTTAAAATCTATAATAAAATTCTTTAGATGCATAAATCACTGAACAGCAATCTTTTTTAAATAAATTCAAAAAACCTAATTGAAAAATGCTACTACACTGTAACGGATTTTCACAATGATAAATTTTGACATAATATTTGCCTTAAAATATATGTATGTATAATACATGTATTTTTAATTATGATTATTGTAAGTAATAATTTCACTAACTTTGTATATTGATAGACTGCTAATTTTAAATGAAAAGTAACGACCTAACATTTTAAATTTTACACACCGAATATCAGTAACACATGTAGATACTAATAACACTAACATCAAGAATACATTTCTGTCCATGCAATGTAGGTATATCTCCCACATGTTTTAGTAAATAAAATATCTTATCTTAATAACTTAAATGAATAAATACAATTACCATAATAACACATTAAAATATATAATAAAATAAAAAATTCTTACAACATATTAATAATATATTCAAATTTAAAAGTAATGACTCTGATTTTCTTACAATAATGATTACTCAATAATCAAATAATGTCGCTCCAGCACGTGTTCAGATGTAAACATATTTATCTATTTTAAGTCAATCTTGTGTTCCTCCGACAAATTAATGTTCTATTCTTATGAGAAATAAATTTCTTAAACCACATAATATATTTTGTATGAACGTAATTTATATAAATTACATTCAAATTATATAAATTACGTTCAAATAAGCCCCATATTCTCAATACCTCAAGGGATGTTAAGCGTTAGCTCGGCGTAGTATTTTTTTTTTAAATAAATTAATTGGATCAAATCAGCAGTCTCATAATTTTTACGCATTGGCGATCTTGCATTTTAGGTTTTATTTCATTTTTATTGCAATATTTACCATCTAACATGAAATTTCCAATTAATAATATTGAAGTATCTTATAGAATATGGGCAAACATTTTACTGCGATTGCGTTTTGCTTCTGTAGTTCAAAGTGAACCTAAATGCAAATTGGCTTAACAATTAGTGGCATTGAAGAATATCTTGAAGCGAGCTCAAATTATTGACTCAAAGTCATTGGCAGCGACTACCACAAACGTAGTAACGTACACGGCGGCCAGATGGGGTCGAAGGGAGATAAAACGGGAGGCTGCTTGCACCGCAAGGGAGCGACGATATCAGTCGCAGTCGGACGGTCAACCAATTCACTCGTTTCTCCAATCCCAAATAGGTTCGTGATATTTAGTGATATGTTTACGTTTCATATTTGTGAAGTGTTAAAATTGAATTGAACCGTACGTAGAAGTACCTTTTTTTATAAAAGTGCCAATAGCTAATGTAAGTGCATTTTGATCCTAGAATCTCCTAGCGCGATGTGGGATGACGCAGTGGAAGAAACTCCGGCTCCAGCCGCGCCAGCGGCAGAAGCACCTGCCGGTGATACACCTGCAGCAGATGCATCTGCAACTGACGCATCCGCTGACGCACCACCCGAAGTTGCCGAGCCTCCTCCACCTGAGAACAATTCAAAGAATGAGCCGAAACGCCTTGTTTTTAAACACTGGACCAGGTGAAGGCTCCTATTATTACTTGTTTATTATATGCCTTAAACAGTTACCTATTAAAATTAATCTGTATTATAAATAACTACGACTATAACAATCAATATGTTTAATGTTATCGTACTACGAAACGTGTTAAAATAAAATTTTTGATATTTCAGGCCGAAATTCCTACAGTACAGCTACATCTATGACTACCAACGCAACTATTATGACGATGTGCTGTCCTATTTGGACCGACGTAACAAAGGTTTACCAGTAGAGAGGCCACGAGCACAGACTTGGGGCGAAAGAGCTCTCAGAACCTACCTCTCAAAAGACACCAGCTACCTGTCCAGGACATATAGCAAAGATACGACCCTGCTCCACCACATTTCTACGGGAGCGCGGTTTCAGCGTTATCACAGCAAGGCTCGTATTGCCAGGAAGTATTCCAACCTAGGATTTACCATAGTATCTATCTAGCTTTGCTTTGAACCCCTCGCTTGGCCTTGCTTCTCGGATGTCGATTCAATCTACCGGCGTGACCTATTTATCGATGTTACAGGATTTCGTTGGCGTGATGATTCACTGACTGCCGGCAAGCAAGCGATTCAAGTACCATAAACACCTACTAAAGCTGTCCGCATTCTTACTTATAAATATACCTCGATTGAGAAGACAATAAATAATAAGTTTCAAATTGCTTTTTATTGAAGCGTGCGATACCTCAAAATATACAAATTGTAAGAGCACAATAAATTTATTTATACTAAGAAATACTCATAAGATTAAAAATAATTTCGATGTTTATCTTTTGTGTGGAACTAATTTAGCACAGCGATTTTTAGGAACACATGCGTTGCGATGTTTATCTGTATTTTAATAACCTATATTTGGTTGTCATTCAAATTATTACTCTATTTTTTAAGGTATTCAAACAAAAGGGCAACAAGAAAATTATTTATTTATATGCTGAATCTATGTTGTATTTGTTTTACATATAACTCTACTTGCTTTAAAAATTTGTAATCAAAATAAGTCATACAGACATACAAACTTAAAAACAGTTTATTTTTACTAGCATATAGGCTAAATTTTGATCACAATTCTGCCTGATGGGACGTAGACAAGAGGTTCAAGTTGTAACGTTTTTTTTCTTAGATAATAACTATTCACTCTGGACTTAAGTAGATCCAAATTGTTACGTTCTGGAAATAGATATTATTTTGCTCCCTTGACAGATTATATTATCTAAAATGATATTCACTATCATATGAGTAACCGCAATAGTTATTTTCATACATGAAGGTGCATTCGTATATTAGAATACTGTGCATAGTTCTGAGAACTGCGGCGAGAGTAATCTATCATGATAAAAGAAACACAAGGAAGCTTTTAGTACAATACACGTAAAATGAAATCCGTTTGACAAATAAATACTGTGCCTTACAAAAGTAAGAGGCAGTATTTATTCTCTCTCTAGTCTTTGCACAACAATTAACATTAGAATTTCTAGTAATTTAATATGACAGTGAATAATGTTTTCTTTTTTATATTGCTACTCACAAAGTGTATTAGAGCAATTTCCAGATAAATGGCCGTTATTTAACTTTCTTAAGTAACAAATTGGTGCGTGACAATTAATTCTTGAAAGGACAATGACAGGTTGTGCTTGAATTAATAAAGCGTAAATAGCGCTTTATTATTTGTTCTATTTTAATACTTGACGAACTATTCAACGAAAAAATAAAACGTATTTATAATCTTATTATTTTATATTTTTCATATCACGGAAACAATTTAAAAAAATAATACAAACACAGCTTTATATATATTTAAACCCGTTCAGCGCAGAGAATTTTAGGTTATGAGATTAAATACATATGTATATATTACGATTTCTATTACTGTAAATAAAACAAATCGATGTGAAACACAACAGTTTCTAATCGATAATGACATGTTGTCATTTTTTTGCTACATATGTCGTAATGTAACGTTTAAATCATCTCATCCATTGTCGCCGTATGACACATCCGCTCTTCGCTCGCAAAATTTCAATGTCGAGATATCTAAAATAACTTATCTTTGACAGTTCAGTGAATGTAATCGCTTGGATGTTGGCCAATACTCGTATGCTTGGTTACCTACCAGGTAAAGCCGGCAATCGGCCAAACTGTAAATTTTTAAATGTTACAATGATCAAGAGACCCCAGACCTTCGATTAGTAACTCACTGGCTAGAATAAAAACATTATATCTTTGTAAGTCACATTAAAAAACCGTGTGGGGGGGGGGGGAAAAAACCCCAAAAGGCCCCCTACCCCACCCGGGGCCCCCCTAGAGGAAAGAGGAAAAGAGACAAACAACCCTTACCTGGCAAGTGAATACCGCCGCCCATGAACAACCGCAACACCAGGGGAATTGCAGGTGCACTGCCGGCCTTTTAATAAGGAATAAGCTCATTTATTAATGTAAAAAATGTCTCCACAATATAGGGTACTTTGGGAGAATGGGGGGGGGGGTTATTAGTCGTTCATAGGTGAATTTAAAATGACACAACTAACATTACGTTAATATTACCGATTTTGGTTGGTAGTTCGTCACGGTATTAAAATATTGTCCGAATCTAATTATTCGCCTGACGAATAAATTATTTCCTTTTATTTATTTAGCGGTTAGTCATATAGATTAGTGCTGTTTTCGAGAGTCATTACGAATCGTCTCGCACGGCAACAAGCTTCCGATAAGTACCGCAAGGCTTCAGTACCATAGACCACATACGTACCCTGCGGCAGATGGTACAGAAGACCATCTGCCGCAGAGAAGTAGTAGAAGACAACAATTTGCCACTTTGCCGTCGAAATTTGGGCGGTGCTACAGTCGCTTCAGCGGTGCCAAGTTGACTGTCGGTATATCCAAGTGCTGAAGTGTTTGTACAGTAGAGCTAGGATGGCTATCCGAGTACAGAACCAGAGTACGAAACCTATCCAACTGTAGAGAGGTGTAAGACAGGGTGATGTTATATCCCCGAAACTCTTCACCCCTACACTGGAAGACGTTTTCAAGCTACTGGACTAGAAAGGATACGGTATTAATATCAATGGCGAGTACATCATTCACCCTCGATTTGCCGACGATATAGTCCTTATGGCAGAACCGCTAGAGGACCTTAGCACTATGCTCAATGACTTCAATGGTGTCTCCCAACGGATAGGTCTTGAGATGAACATGGACAAGACAAAGATCATGTTTAATGGCCGGTAGTTGTTGGGAGCACTATGCTCGAAGTTGTTGACGATTACGTTTACCTGGGACAAATAATCCGACTAGGTAAGTCCAACTTCGACCGAGAGGTCAATCGGCGGATTCAACTCGGCTGGGCAGCGTTCGGGAAATTACGACAGATCTTCCCTTTTAGGTATACCTCGAAATCTGAATACTAAATTGTTCGTCAAGCGTGATAAACTTAGAAATGAGGGTAACCGCAGCAGAACCAGAGTGACCGACATAGCCCAACGGATTAGTAAGCTGAAATGGTAATGGGCTGGCCATATAGCTCGGAGAACCGACAACCGATGGGGATAAAAGGTTCTCGAGTGGCAGCCTCGTAATGGTTGGCGTAGTGAAGGGCGTCCCCCCTCTAGATGGAGTGACGACCTGGTAAGACATGCAGGAAGTCGATGGATGCAGGTGGCTCAGGATCGCGCTTTGTGGCATTACTTGGGGGAGGCCTATGTTCAGCAGTAGACTTGTGAAGGACTGTAATGATGATGATGATGATTAGTATATTTAAAAATCTAAAGTTACATCTGATGGCAAAGTTAAAAAAAGATTCCTTTTTACTAGAAACCAGTGTTCGACTACGATCCCACCTGAACACCTGATGGTAAGTGGTGATGCAGCCGAAGATGGTACAGCGAACTGAGCGAGCTTAACAAAAGCCTATATTCACTCTTGCCTTGAAGACGTCCACATTATACGTAGTCAGATGGAACGACAGATGTTGGCAAATTATTCCACTTCTCTGCTGTACGCATTATGAACGAAGAAAACCGTGATTTATGATGATGATGATGATTATTATGAGATTCATGATGATAACGAACTCGTTAAGATACAGACTTTTCTATTACCTCAATCACCTTTCTGAAGGTTTCACTTCTATCACGTATGAGCTACTCACATGTTTTTTTATTGCACGCCTCAAAGCGAGCGTTGTGGTTGTGCTCTACTCTCACCTAGTGGAAATCCAGTAATTTTTGAGCTAAAAATGTCTTTATTTTTTTCTATTGCACTTTTAGAATAATAAAAATGCACATATATCGAGAAAAAATACTCGTTTTCGTGTTTCTATTATTTTTAAAAGTAAAGTCTGTATTTAGTAAAAAATAATCTGATTGAAAAACTTTTCGAGGGTGTCCGGGTGTCTGTCTGTATGTGTGGTTGGCGCACGATTACGGTTGTTAGAATTGTATCAAAATAATTATTTGTTTATTAGGTTTAGAATCTCAACGCACAGGTTCCTTTTAAAAATCACGGAGTAATTTGGTCTCATTTAATTGTAATTAATTAAAATGTAAAAAACAACTGGTACTTTTCTACAAAAAAATATTCTCATGGATCTCATTTTTCGTCTGAAATATGGAAAAAGAGATATTTTTCTTTTTATATAATCGAATGAGATTATAATGTGTGCACTTTTAGATTTTTCAAACTTTTTTATTTAATATGTGGGGTGGTTCCATATAGGGTATATGGTAATAAAGGGTAATGTAGTTTTTATTGTACCTATTTAAACTGCATTCTTGTACTTACCTTGAACTTGCATATACCTAAGAACACTTAGAAGTAAAATAGTTAAACGTTTACTAAAAAGAGGCGAATCCAAAAACTAAACAAATAATAATTTCCATATCACAGCTTCTGAAGTCGGAGCTTCACTCGTAATTTTTCGATACACTACATCTTGACACTGAATTCAGAGGCTGTCTATTATGTATAAGTTTTATTTAATTTTTATTAAGGTGGTAGGTTTAATTTTTATTAAAAGTTTAGTTATTTGAGTTACTCAGTACAGCTTTTTATAGAGTAAGGGTGACAAGTCAAGACAGTCTACGTGGATGCTGTGGTCCATGGACATCTACATTTATTCTCTATTAAAAATAAAAATGCAAATGCGTTTTCAACCCTGACGACTAAGATGGAATTCCTTGTTTGCAGTAGAAACACATCACAACTCAACTGCTATTTGACGCTGGTATTCTGTGAGAACGTGGTTCTACCCCGGTTCAGCCGACCTATTCGTGCTTCAATTATAATTTAACTGCAACGTTGCAGAGCAAACTTAGAAAATTATATTCTAGCGAACATTCCCTCACGTTACGTTACGTTTACGAACGGATTTGGCTTGCGAACAGATATTACATTTATTGATTAATTTTTAAACAGACACAGGCTAAGATCAAGCAACATCATTAGACAATTAGCATATAATAAATACAACTAAATCTGATACCATAAACATCGCTACCAGATCTAAAAAGCGTGGATCTTGATGCAGCGGCAACAGCTCACTGCGCTTGCACAGCGC